TTTCCAATTACTGTATTCCATTTGAGTAAAATAGTGACGCAGCATCACAAAATGTGACTGACCAAGTACAGGTAGGCCTTGCATATACAGTAGGTCGGTTCTGGGCTAATGCTGTAACGTGAATCATAGTCTTTTTCACTTTCAAACCCATATAAAAGCCTGACAACATGTTTACACTATCATATATTAAGTAAGCAATAGAGCTAGGCCTAAAAAAATGCATATACATTACACACATTACTTTTTTTTTTTTTTTCAACAAGTCGGCCGTCTCCCACCTTAAAATATTTTTGTCCTAACTTAAAGTGAGTGGTGAATATATGTATTTAATTTAGGAAGTCTAAATAATTGAAGAATGGGAATAATTGAAAACTGCTGCATTAGCAAAACAATGTAATGGTTTTAAGTTGGAAAAATTCAGATTCAGGAAGCATATAGGAAAGTACTGGTTTGGTAATAGAGTTGTGGATGAGTGGAACAAACACCCGAGTACAGTTATTGAGGCTAAAACGTTGTGTAGTTTTAAAAATAGGTTAGATAAATACATGAGTGGGTGTGGGTGGGTGTGAGTTGGACCTGACTAGCTTGTGCTGCTGGGTCTGGTGCAGTGCTCCATCCTTGAGTGGAGGTGACCAGACTGGGTGGGTCATTGGGCTAATCCAGGGGGAAGGGTGGACCTGCTCTGCATGGGTCAGTAGGCCTGCTGCAGTGTTCCTTCTTTCTTATGTTCTTATGATGGTAGTGACATTGGTGTCGGTGGGTACTGGTTAACCATGATGGTATCTGTATTGGTGGGTATTGGCAAAAAATTCTGGTATTATGCCATCACTAACAGTAAGTAAAGAGTTACTAGGTAATAACTGTCTTCACTCACACAGTTTGAATCACAGTTATTAGCTAAACTGATTTCCTGATCTGCAGGGATCTGATGTGCATTTGTATTTACACTGTGGCAGAAGAGGTTACACAGAACAAGCACTTCAAGAGTTCCACAGAAGTAAAGGATGCAGCACTCACTGCATCAGATTAGAAACAATAAAAGACACAACACCGTGAATGGAACAATACACAAATAACCAGCACATCGGAGAGAAAGACTAATGATGTTTTCGTCCAACATGGACCATTAACCAGTGTGCAACTAGTTAATGGTCTAAGTTGGACCGAAACATTGTTATAAGCCTCTTTTTCCTATGTGCAAGTTATCTGTGTACTATATCAGGTTTGTTTCACCAGATGCTGGACTCTCTGCCCAAATATTAAAACTTATTGTAAGACACAAGTCACCTTAGCAAAGCATTGGAAGGGTCTAAAGAGGCCGTTCCTTTTTGTTACTCAGGTTATAGGTTGCTTGAAATCGTTAATACCAGCAGGTACGCAAAGACATGATCACCTTGTTAGAAGGTCATGGCAGAACAACTAATATTATTCTTATACAGGTGGGCTAATGAAGCACTTGTCAATTATATCAATTCTTCATTTATTCAGACTTCCTACAATAAATATATTCACTATTCAGTATATGCTAAGGATGAAAATATTTTAAGGTAAGTAATGTGTACTGTATATGCATTTTTTAGGCCTAGCTATATTATTAACTTAATATATGACAGTGTCAACATGTTATCAGGCTTTTATATGCATTTGGAGGTGAAGGAAGGCTATGATTCACTTTACAGCAGTAGGCAGGAATCTTAACCTGCTGTACAAGCAGGGCCCTACAGTAGCCCAGAACCTAACCTGCTGCATAAGTGAGGCCCTACTGCACTGCGGGAATATTCCTCTTTCCCCCCCTAATCACCCTTAAAACAAATTTAAGAGAAATTCTTTTTAAAAACTGTCTCCCATGTAGATCTATGTTATTGATGCCTGTTTCACTCACATATATCTATGTTTTAAACACAGTGCCCTAAAATATGCTGCGAGCAGGAAATTTTGGCTTAGGCACGAGAGAATGGGGCTGGGCAGCTTGTGTGCACGTATAAAAAAAAATTTCTGCCCCATGCAGTGCATGATGGGAAAAGCAAATCTTACATTTGGTTTAAAAAACAACTTCGAGGTGTTTTCTAGGGTGGTGGTTATGATTTTATTGGCTGTTTTGTGATATCAATTGATTGAATGGAAGACATACTGGTGAATTAGATCCATAATTTTGATCAGTTTCAAACCAGAAGTAGCTTGAAATAGGCCTTAAATTGGCAATTTTTTTTTTTGGATGATTTTTCATAAGGGTAGGGTCCTCTAGTCCTTCCCTCCCCTGATCTGCTTTATGGATTTTCACTAAGCCTGCTTTAATTATTGGGACCTGGGGGTATACCTGAAGTATACCTGGACAACCTAAACCATGATCAATTATTTTTGGGAATATTTTATCTGAGAAAAAGGGTAAAACTTATTGGGGGGGGGGGGGCTTATGACAGACTCAATATGGAAGGTAAGTGTTCTATAGTTATATAGGAGAGGCCTGGGGATGTAATTAATTAACAGAGGAAAGGTTGCTTTTGTGACTAGAATGCGTACATTGCTTATCTTGAACTCTGTTTTTAAATAGGAATATGTTGAATGTAGTGTTAAGTTAGTCAAATTACCAACTTCCATGTATTTTAAAGGTTAGCTCATATAGCTGAAAGAGTAGTTTCTCATGCTCAATCGATAGCTCAGAAGGCAAACTAGTGAAATAGCTAAAAACTGGCTTCAAAATGGCTCTGGTGGCCTGGTGGCTAACGCTCTCACTTCACACAGCGAGGGCCTGGGTTTGATTCCCAGCCAGAGTAGATACATTGGGCGTGTTTCTTTCCACCTGTTGTCTATGTTCCCCATCAGTAAAATGGGTACCTGGGTGTTAGTCGACTGGTGTGGGTCGCATCCTGGGACACTGACCTAATTTGCCCGACATGCAGAGCATAAAAAGGAGCTTTCTATATAGTAGTATGTCACTGTTGTCAGCTATGGTCTGTATACCTTGTACATGTACTTGTAGTAAATAAAGATATTATTATTATTAAATAAGATTCAAGGGGGTGAACTAGCTGATGCATGAACTACACACAGGCTACCAGCTTTGTGCCTTAGTAATTCAAGAAGTTTCCCATCAAATTTCTCATTTTTGGTGCATTAACTTGAAAAAAACAAAAAATTCTCTAGCATTTCATAAGAAAATTTTTTTTAAGTCACACTGTCAGCACTTTTAATTTCTGGGGTTGTGACAATGAAAGTGTTAGTACCACATGTCTTGGTTCTCATATGGCCACTGGTAAGCAGATTTAACCCAACAATGTATTTAGAAGTTACAAAAAAAAAAAGGCACAATACCGTGACTGGAACGATACACAAATAACCCGCACATAAAAGAGAGAAGCTTACGACGACGTTTCGGTCCAAGTCGGACCGAAACGTCGTCGTAAGCTTCTCTCTTTTATGTGCGGGTTATTTGTGTATTTAGAAGTTAATACATACCTCACAAACTGATGATAAATCTTTACACAATAATTGCTTAGCTGGCAATGCTCTAGCCTCACACAATGAGTGTTCATGGTTCAATCACACAGGTGGAAATGTTGTGCATGTTTCTTTATACCTGCTGTCCCTGTTCAACTAGCAATAAGTAGGTACAGTGGAACCTCAAATATCGAACTTTCTTCGGTCCAGAAGGCTGTTCGAGTGCCTTTACCGAATGAATTTATTCCCATCAGGAATAATGTAAATTAGATTAGTCCATTTCAGACCCTCAAAAATACACTTATAAAAGCACTTACAAAAATACACTTACATAATTGGTCGTGTTGGGAGCAGTTTGATTTTTGAGGTTCCACTGTACCTGGGTCTTAGTGGACTGGTGTGGGTCACATCCTGGGGGACAAGACTGAAGAACTCCCAATGGAAATCAGACAAACAAGTCCTCAATCATGCACTGACTTTCTTTTGTTATCCTGGGTGGCTAACCCTCTTCTGGGTTAAAAATTACAACAATTTTGATCTTATCTTATCAAGTCATGACTGATAATGGTCCCAAGTGAACCGAAACATTGTTTAGAGATTTATCTTCAATCTGAGGGCTAATTGTGAATTGTTTTAGCCATGGTATTGTGAATTTTGTTCTTATGTGCCTGTACCTGAATAAACTTACTTACCTACTTACTATCAATGTATAATGGTATACACAGTAATGAAAAAGCAAGTTCAATGAAAACATCGTTCCAAGTTTTTGCATTGAGCAAGTTCAATGAAAATAATGTTCACACAGTTGTTGCACTAAACAAGTGTCCGGTTTTCAAAACTTTCTTGACATTGTGATATTATTTAAATAGATAAGAGGCAACTAATCAAAAAATATTTAATGCCCTGTACAGGAATACTTCATTAATACACCACTCGCTTTACAGCAGTTCGCTAATACGGCGCTTTCAATTACAGTGGTACCTCGAGTTACGAAATTAATTCATTCCAGAAGGCTGTTCCGAGTGCCGAGACTGAACGAATTTGTTCCCATAAGGAATAACATAAATTAGATTAGTCCATTTCAGACCCCCAAAAATACACTTACAAAAGCACTTACAAAATTGTTCAAGCTGGGAGCTGTTCAAAACTCGAGGTACCACTGTATATTCATGTTTGTTATTTTTGGTGCCTGTCTTGCTCCTAAGATGGTTTACGGCAATTTAAAAAATACGTATTTACTTTTACTTTTGCAGCGTTTTCTGAGGCCTAGTGCTATATCTCACTTAATAAATTATAGTTTAAACAAGTTTTTAGGCCTTTATATGCACTGGCAAGTGAAAAAAAGAAAGGCTGTGATTTGCTTTTCAGATGATAGTGGTTTTACAGTGGCAGTCTGGAACCTAACATGCTGTATTTTGGCATACCTCTACTAACTTTCACACTGGTAAACTGAGCCTTCGGAACTTACCATTTCCGAAACTGATCAAAAAAAAAAAAAAAAAACTAATTATTAATGCCCTGTACTAACTTTCACACCAACAACCTGAGTCCTCTTCACTTACCGTTTCTATCAATTTCCGGTTCTCGAGTAGTTGAGATTTGTCCTTTATTTCCCCCGAGGCTAACCAAGACTTGATTTGATCACGTAATCTTTGAAGTTTTTTAATTTCCTTTTTAAGGTCTGCTTCATATTTTTCCTTTTGGTTACTATTAGTGGCATTATGAACTTTTTGCCAAATGTCTTCAAACTGTTCCACTCCCTCCGCCACTTTTTTCAGGCACCGATCAATTTCACCTGTAAAGAAATGATAAGAATGATGAATTATCAGGATTTTCTTTTATTAAAAATACAGCCTCTCCTCGCTTAACGACGGAGTTCCATTCCTAAGACCACGTAGTTAAATGAATTCGTCACTAAGTGAGGAGCATACTATAATGGTAGTGGGTTTGTGTCAACCATCTTTGATATTGTTTTAATGTTACCTATGCACCATTTATAACATTTCTGGTATATTTTTTAATGTTTATAGTATACTGTATATTGAAAAAACAGAATAGAGGAAATCAGCCCTAATATACATTATTTAGGTATAAATACTGGTCAGAGAGCCCATCGTAAGTCCGAGGCGTCGGTAAACGAGTACGTTGCTAAGTGAGGAGAGGCTGTACTGGGTACTGTATGTATGTGGATGTGACACACACATACACACAAAAACATACAGTACATACAACTACTATGACCATATACATTAGAAATATGAAATTAGGTAGTACAATAGTTTCTTAAGAATAAATACTGTAAATACACACCCCAACAGAAAGAAAATTCTGTACTGTATGAATGCTATGTTGTTGTACATCAGTTTTTTTTAAGGGGAAAAGAGTGCAGTATTGACCCTTGTTTTAGGTGAATCATTACTATGCAATGTCCCACATTTTCACTATGCAATGTCCTACGTCTTCACTATGCAATGTTCTACATCTCTACTATGCAATGTCCCATGCCTTCACTATGTTATGTCCCATGCCTCTGCATAGCAGACATGGGACACTGCATAATAATATCCCACGTCTATCAGTAATTCTGCATATGTGATATACGCACGTACATTCATAGTATATATTTTATCAGGGTGATCTGCAGGATTAAGTATTGATGGACTGAGTGAGCTTCTCATTACATTAGTAGTAAACAATTCCAACAAACTGATGAATAAGACACATGTGCAACACCTGGATATCTTTACTGATGAGACGTTTTGCCAACCAGTGCCTTTTTCAATCCAATACACAGAGCATATACTGGAGACAGTCAAAGATATGGAGAGACAATTTTGAGGTGCTCATTCTCCCCGAACAGCTGCCATGGACCTGGAACACATCTGCTGCATACAGTGAGGGGACACCAGCATCTCTGTCAATGAAAAGTGTTGACACATCTACTGTATACAGTGAGGGGACACCAGTATCTCTGTCAATGAAAAGTGTTGACACATCTACTGTATACAGTGAGGGGGACACCAGCATCTCTGTCAATGAAAAGTGTTGACACATCTACTGTATACAGTGAGGGGACACCAGTATCTCTGTCAATGAAAAGTGTTGACACATCTACTGTATACAGTGAGGGGACACCAGTATCTATGTCAATGAAAAGTGTTGACACATCTACTGTATACAGTGAGGGGACACCAGTATCTATGTCAATGAAAAGTGTTGATGCATCTACTGTATACAGTGAGGAAGAAAAGTTTGATGAGTAAAGATAAACGTTTGGTATGAGGCAGAAGGAAAAGTTTAAAGGTGGTGAAAGTGAAAGTCTGGGGCAGGAGATAAGCATGGTGGGGGAGGAGGGGAGGAGGGGAGGAGGGGAGGAGGGGGAGGAGGGGGAGGACATGGGTGTAGCAGCAAGGGGGATAGCCAGCAGGAAGGTGACCTTGTGTCTGGGTAGCACATGTAAAGTACTTGTAGTTCAATGGTGGCACCTCAACCTCACAAGCAAAACACCAGGGTTTAATACCAGGCAGGTGGGGACTATGGGTATCTCTACAGCTCCTACTTCTGCTCAATAATAATAATAATAATAATAATAATAATAATAATAATAATAATAACAATATTTATTTCTACAAGCACGTGTACAAGGTATACAGACCATAGCTGACACTAATGACATACTACTACATAGAAAGCCCCTTGTTATGCAGAGCATTTTTGGGGAATTAGATCAATTTTGTTTCAGGATGCAATTCACACCAGTCGACTGATACCCAGGTACCTATTTTACTGATAGGTGAAAATGGACAGCAGGCGTCTTAAGGAAACATATCCTAATGTTTCCACCCGTACTGGAGATTGACCCCTAGGCCTCAGTGTGAGAGCTGAGTGAACTAACAACTGCGCTACAGGACACCTTAATGGTAAATAAGTAGAGTACCTGGGGGTTCATAGATTATTGTGGGTAATTTCCTAGAAGAGAATGAAATAGTTTTAACCATAACCATAATTTTTAAATGGGGTGGACTGGTAAGCCAGTGGAAGGCCTCAGTCAGATGGCCACAAGCTATAGCTGTGGGTCATCATATAATTAAGACCTACGTCAGGAAACACTTGTCCTGTTTCTTGACAAACCTTACCTAACCTAACCGTCCTCAAAGAGGGGGTGGTAGTATATGTACTTCAGAATGGGCAAGAGTTTGAAATGCACGAAGGTAGACTACTACCTCTCAGCCTGCAAATTCAATGGAGTGAAAAAAACAATCATTCCAGGACCAAAATATACACAAAAATAACACACACAGCTCACTTGTACAAACAGCAGCAGTAATGCAAGGATAAAGGGAAGTGAAAAGGGGAAAACACATACTAGTTTCCCAAACTCTTTCTACCCATCTTTCACTCCCCACCCCCCATGACAAGGAAACAACAATTAGCAAACAAAAGTGGGTACAGCAGCAGTGTGATGCCACCCTGCCCACTCCATACGAGCAAACGATAATAAGACACTTGGAAACCCTTATCAAGGAAATGTTTCACCAGCTTAAGGACTGATTACCTCAAACTCCTCCTCGTTTTCCAATATTCTTCTCTGTATTGGACTAAAGAAGCCACTGACTGGTGAAATGTTTTCTCAATAAAGATTCCCCCAATGTTACACAAGTGTCTCATTCTTCAAAACATATGGGGACTTAAGTGAGACACAGATCATCCAACTCACTATTTACTGTTACTTTGTAAAAAAAAAAAAAAAAAAAAAAAAAAATCTGATTAAAATCAGAAACTGACTGAGAAATTTATTCACAAATACATGTACAGGTCTCCCTCAACATTCGCGAGGGTTAGGGGATCAAGAGCCTCGTGAATGTTGAAAAACCGTGAATGTTTGGTGCACCAATACAGTGGACCCCCGCATAACGATATTAATCCGTTCATGAGAGCTCATTGTTATGCGAAATTATCGTTATGCGAATGAATTTTCCCCATAAGAAATAATGGAAATCAAATTAATCCGTGCAAGACACCCAAAAGTATGAAAAAAAAAAATTTACCACATGAAATATACATTTTCCTACACACAAAGAGAAGGATACATGCACAATAGTATAGTACATGCACAGTATATATTGTGCATGTACTACTCTACTAAATGAAGAATAAATGACACTTACCTTTATTGAAGATGCAGCAATGACTGATGAGACACTGTGTCCTGGGAGTGCCTTTTCCTCCTGAGTACTGTAGGTCCTGTTTGGCATTTTCTTCCAGAACAGGCCTTATCACACTGTGTATGCCACTATGATTCTTAAATCTCTCAAACCAACCTTTGCTGGCTTTAAATTCACCAATATGAGCACTAGTTCCAGGCGTTTTTCCCTGTTCACCTGGGTGTTAGTCGACTGGTGTGGGTTGCATCCTGGGAGACAAGATTAAGGACCCCAATGGAAATAAGTTAGACAGTCTTCGATGACACTGACTTTTTTTGGGTTATCCTGGGTGGCTAACCCTCTGGGGTTAATTGTTTCTTGGTATTCTCAATAAGCCACAACACCAACAACAGTGCTACAGCAGCAGCAGCAGCAGCAGCAGACAGTGCTACAGCAGCAGCAGCAGCTGACAGTGCAGCAGCAGCAGCTGACAGTGCTACAGCAGCAGCAGCTGACAGTGCAGCAGCAGCAGCAGCTGACAGTGCTACAGCAGCAGCAGACAATGCTATAGCAGCAGCAGACGGTACTACAACAGCAGCAGCAGCAGCAGCTGATGGTGCTACAGCAGCAGCAGCAGACGATGCTACAGCAGCAGCAGACGATGCTACAGCAGCAGCAGACGGTACTACAGCAGCAGCAGCAGCAGACGGTACTACAGCAGCAGCAGCAGCTGATGGTGGTACAGCAGCAGCAGCAGCTGATGGTGGTACAGCAGCAGCAGCAGCTGATGGTGGTACAGCAGCAGCAGCAGCTGATGGTGCTACAGCAGCAGCAGCAGCTGACAGTGCTACAGCAGCAGCAGCAGCAGCATCAGCAGTTGACCATGGTACCACAGTATTTCGATAATATTTCTCACCCTTTTTCCCACAGGGTTGGCACTAGAAGCTTTCTTGGGGCCCATGGTCACTTATTTTGCAGATAAAATCACCAAAAACACTGTAATAATACGAAATGTTACGATTGTATGCTTGGATGTTACTGCGGAGGCTGGCTTGTAAACAATGCCACCGGCGGAACATGTGAGGCTGGCTCAGGCCGCACATTAGACGCGTCTCGGACGAATAGTGTTGAGCGGGTTTTTTAGCGGTATGCAAGGCAAAATCTTAGCGATAAAATGTATCGGTATGCGGATTTAACGTTATGTGATGCCAACGGTATGCGGGGGTCCACTGTATATTGTAGGGAAATATATTACAATACTGCTTCCTTAAGTTGTTGAACCATGAATAATCATAAAATATATGAAAATGTCGTAAAATGTACTAAATATATGCATGTTATGCTTTAATAACGTATGTTATTTAATAACATGTATGTAAATAACATGTATGTTATTAAATACCACAGACTCCACCACTGCGAGTCCCTACTACCCTCCCTCCGACCCCCACAACTGGCAGCCAGCCCTCCCACCACTCAGTGTGGTGAGTGTTTTGTTTGTTCATTATTTGCTATTAAACTACAGAATAAATAATGTAAACCCATTCATGACTGCATATTGGAATGGCTATTAGGAAAGGTATTAGACGGTGACATCATGTGTTTACTCTTGAACACAGCAAAGAATCGAACATTTCTGCTATTGCTAATA